AAGCGTATGCACACGAAATACACAGAGATGTCTGAAAGTGTAATTAAGAAAGAACTATACATACCTGTGCTTTGGTTCAAGTCTTCTAGGCAAACAAGTGTATTGTTTGTTAGTTGAATTCAATTACATTGAAACTGAATAGTGAAGTCAATACAGCTTGATAACCAAACAGAGGGAATGTCCGTACATGTACGAACGAGCTATTCGTGCACTTCATGATTCGAACGGAAGGAAGTGCGTTGTCGTGTCTGAAAGAAGTGATAGCATAGCCTTCATGGAGGCAACAACCTCCACTAAGACAACTAAAGATATAAAACATAAAATAAAACATTGAATATAACAAATACTTTATATAGACTTCTACATGTAAGGAGATGAACTTGTTTTCGAAAGTTTGCAATGGAGCACCTTGTTCGCAATGGAGCATGATATTGCGAATTGTGCATGGTTGTCAATGAGTGTCATAGACGATGTCAAGACATGAGGTACAGTTGTTGATTGAAAATGAAAAACATCATGAATGATTAAATGAAAATTTGTTTATTCTAATGAGCTTAAATGAGGAGAATAATATCGGCTGTGTTGACACAAATGAAGAACTTTTGGAAAGAGCAAACAATGAAAGCTCAAGTGGATGAATTTAATCACAGCTTTACCCTATCAATCAATTAAACAAAAATCCCATTTATTTCATCTTTTCTTATTTGTCTACATTAATCATTTCAGTCGTTTGTTGACCTTTCCATCGGCTTTCTTCCACACTAACTGCCAGTTCAAATGTGCCAACATTTCAATAAGCAACCATACTCTTATATCTCGCCCCCACACCATCTCTCTCTTCTTCTATCTATCTCTCATCTCTCTTCTCTTCATTCACCTCCGTCGCTCCAACACATACATATATACTCCTTCAGAATCAATATATTTTAAAACCATTTTTTAGTGTTGCAGATGACCGCTTGAGATGGTACGCCCCGAACTTCCTCCTTGCCTTGTATACTCCATATCGCATTTCGTTAACACACCCTCTATGAAGCAAGCTATCACAGGACCATTTGATGGCTATGACAGTTTGAACATTTTCCTGTTCCTCTCATTCTTCAAAAGAATAAGATTGAGAGAAAGAGTGATGTGGGGGTCTATGAGTAGTAGTATGGACCGTTCCCTCCTACCTTCAGAAGATAAAAAGAATCAAATGTGTTATTACAGTTATCTCTGACTCTACTCTCGTCCTCCTTCATATCTCACTCCCTCACTCTCTTTCTCTCTCTAATTTTTAACTTTTAACCTTTCTCTCTCCATCTTCAATCATTTTCTCTTTCATCTACTCTTTTTCATTCAAAAGCATGTTCGATATTAGCTTTATAATGGCTCATCATTGTCACATATTTTCCTTCTCACCTTTTATGTTGTCGGCTCATTTGATAAAGTCAAATAAAAAAAATTTTTTTTTTCTTCACATTTTTCGCTTTCAGCTTAGATGTCAGTATTATAGTGTTCATTGTATCTTGATCCATGATCATCTTTCATTTTTTATATGATATAGTTAATAATGAGTTATTTATTGGTTTCGAGTTTAGAGCCAAGAAGCCAGCCATGGTCAGCGCCAACTTCACACTTGGGCCAACGATTGAAACATGGTTTGATGGTATGTTATCCTATTTCAGTCATTTTTTCTCTCTCTCTCCCTCTCTCTCTCTATACCACCCTATCTCTCTCTCAATTCCCTCTTTTTTGATGTTTTATTGCAATTTACTCATTAATCAAACAACTTCCAAAAGTATCATAATGGAATGTTGACGAAAGAGATTTGGATGTATTTCTTTCAAATCATCTCATCATTTACTTTGCAACAGACGACACTACTGTTGAGTTTTTGTTTCCGTCGACTACTGCCTCTTGAGAGGAACATTTGTTCCTTTCAACCTCCCTCTCTTCCCCCCAGTCCTACCTTACTATTCCAATCTGTTAAGCTTACCTTGTTCATTCTTAGCTCACCTGCTAGCTCATACAGCCGGTAGCTAACTGTGGTGGTAGTGATTGCCTCCCTCCCCATCTCTCACTTATACATTCAAAGTTTTGGACTTACTTACTCATCCATCTCTATTGCCATCATCGTGCTGTTCCTCCTCATTATTTCGTAACTGTTGATCAATTCTGTGAACCGTGCAATAGCTTAAGCACATCAAAAGATCATTTGCAACTTCTCTTTCCAAACAGACGATCATTCCATTCAGAACGTTTCTTCCTTGGCCAGACGTTCTGTTTAGTACTTTTTCATCTCCGACCGCTTGATCCATCACTTTTTTATACCCGACAGCTCTGCAATCACCTAAAATTCCAGACGTATTGTGTGTGTGTCCCCCAACCTGTTATATACCGTCTCTCCAGACAAAGCCATTCTTTCACAATTTCTAATTTTAAGAACCTCAATCTTAATCATCCAAGATAAACTACGCAAGCTTAAACCTATAAAGCTGTTTTGAGTTTGAGTCAGAAACAATCGAAACAGCTCTGAGCGGAAGTTTTCAAAGTTATTTTGTGATTCGGCGACGTTTATTCACAAACGGACGAATCCCATAAATTAATATTTCAATACTCAACCCACATCAACCATACACAGCCTACCATACATTCACTCCGGCCATTCCACCCACTGAGCCATAACTATCCCCCTCCATCTTCATCTAGTGGGTGTAAATCATAACGAATCGTTGTCAGTATAAAAAAGGTGAAGAAGAAGATTAAGGCTGAACCGACATAGAAAGAGGAAGAAGCAAACGAGGGAAGAAGAAAACGAACTCTCTCTTCCTTGTTCATTACCATAAACCCTTATCAAACTATATATTTTTTTATTTTTTGAGCCCTCTCCTATCATCTCTCTATCTCTCTTCTCATTCTCTCCTACACGTGAGTATCATCTATCAGAATGTCTTCTTCTGAGAATTTATTTCCATTAGATTATTATTACCGCGGTAAGTGTTAGAACTTGATTAAATGAAGCCTAACCAGCATACTCTGTTATCTTTCAGCTTTACCGGCTGTCTATATAGTCTTCATTGCCATCAGCTGTGTTCTAGTACTCGGAATAGGCGTTATGACGCTTCGGATAGTATTCATAGTTCATTACTGTGTTCCCAATGAGCATTATCAAGGAGATTTATATTTTATCGTATGGATGCCATTGGTAAGCTTCATCCATCTTAACTATACCATATAACCTTATATCTAAACAGTTTGTCTCTGTTGTATGCTTGGTTGGCAATATCATTCCGCGTGCAGCAGCATTTCTATATGCTGTAGGATTAGTGTAAGTCAACTGTTCACATCAAATTCACTAACTATTATCATATAATTAAGATATTTAATGATGTGCTTACATATAAGCATTGTATTGATCGTCCGCTTATTCGGCTCAAGAAAACAGATGTGCGATTGGCTCATCACAAACGAAAAGGTAATCCTCACTTGCTCTCTTGATCTCTCTCTCTGTCACTTTCTCTTTTTGATTATTTACTTTTCCATTTTTCTTATATTTACATTTATACTTTGAACTTCCACGTGTATACTCACGTGTTTTACCTGCTTAGATCATCTCTCTCATGATCACATTCATGCGATCGATGACGTGTTTCATTTTCAGGTATTCCTCTTCGATGTAAGACCATACTGTTGCTGTTGCCATTGCCTGCCTCCTATGAAGCCGACACCGTTCGTTTCATATCGTTAATCATGTGCTCACGTGCTCATCTTGCAGAAGACGGCTCCGTTATCTATCCTATTTGGTTAAGCAGAGTCCTATCGTTCGTACTTTCTTACAAATCCTTATTGTGGTTATCACATTGGAAGGAATTCGGGATGCCGGAACGTCAGTATTCAATTCAACTCTCCCTCCTACCTCTATAACCTATCTGTTCACCTTTGGCTCTTTGCCTCCCTTGACTTGTTTACAATTTGAATCTAACGCATAAGTTATGCTAATTTCGAAAAAGCTGAATGCATACAGAATCACGTGAAAATTTACGTGAGACGAATGCTCATTTTACAGTAAACAAGGCATGAGAACGGTTGTACATCTCATCTTACATGTAAAGCCTTACTTACACATACTCGCACTCTGTTCGTCTTAGTTCAACACATATAGTCAACTATCCATATCTCTTTATAACGATACCTTTTAAGGACAACACAAGTCTTGAATGGAATAGGAGTTGCTTCAACTCTTATCGCCGTTTTCATTTGTCATGTTATCGTCACAGCATCCAGGGTTATTATAAAATATGAGCTAAAGATAATATTATATAGTATTCGTTTCAGGACCATTTAGAGGATTATAACATGTTTGTAATATTTCGATGTGTGGATGTATCACAGATGTTATTCACATTTCAAAAGTTCATACTTGATCTCATTGCAAAGAATGGTGGAATGGGTGGATTATCAGTAGCTCCACCATCTATGATAAGTCGATGTAAGCTTACTAACTATATACTTTGATCATTTATACTATATGTTTAGTTTGGCATAATATAGCAATGACATTTGAATTGACAATCGTCTGCTTTATACTCTATCGCAACGTTCGGCCAGGAAAATCAAAATTCTTTACGGAAACCAGTGTTCAACGTTCTAATGGCAATGCTGTTCCTTTAACGGACTTGTAAGAGGGCAAGCTCAAGCCATGTGTGTAAGCTTGCAACTTCACGAAGAAGTACAACAACTATCCGGTGCTATTTCTCAAAATTTTGAAAATCTCTCTCATTTCTTCTCTCATCATCCCTCCTCTCCTCTCCCAGTCTCTCTCCCTCTCTGTGTCCTACTGTTATACAGTACTCAAGATAGCATTTCCTAACTGATCAAAGTGTTCCGGGTAACTATGTGGTGAAGCATAATACAATAACAAATGAATTAATAAACTATTTTATTATTTTTCTTGTTTTCGTATAGAAAAATCAATGCGATGATCAGGTTGCGTGATAGAGTACGCCAAGAAGAGAATCTGAATGAGATGATGATGACGATGAATGCGTAAACAGTTTCATTTACCCAATCAGTTGATGAGTTAACCGGTCGTATATCAGTCTTGCCTTCTAAGAACGTCATCTTAACGTTCTTCTCCTCATTAAGAACTATTTGAAAGGACTCATCATTAACTATCTGAATAATTAATAATATAGTATGAATGACTAGAATATTCATCCAACATCTTCTTTCCTACTAATGGCCATGCCGAAGTAGGAGGTTTGGAAGAAGCTCAACACGATATCCGATTTCTTGTTCCTTCTACCTAATCTGCAACATGATTGATGCTCATCAGAGATTAGCATGAAAAACAAACTTGTAAAGTATGCTGAGGATCAGATTACGATCATTCACATCTAGACGTGATGCATCAGATTCTAATTCAAAGTCATCTACTGATATGACTTCTAAGATGTATGGACAGCCCTTAAATGGTGTATGCTCACTAGATATATAATATACTAAGCTTACATGTATAAGCTTGAGATCATCCGTGTATCCTAGGTGTTTCAATGATACAAATGTATCTTTGACAGCATTCTCTTCGCCAACGCTCATTTCCATCTGCAAAGTCAAAATCAATTTGATATTCTTCATCCGAATGTCATTTCATAGAATATGATGACATCATATCGTCTCATTCCTAATCTGCCCTCCGCCCATACCTGCTGTAACTCAATGAATCCAGCGACAGTTAGACAATTGTCCCTCGAATCGAACATTTCCAAAAGATCGTCCCAGTCCTTAAAAGGATGTTTTTCAGAATAGGAGGTGAGGTCTTGCAAGCAACTCTTTCATTGGAAATGACTTCATCGCCGGAAACAAAGAGAAACGTATTGAATTCCATAGAAGACAGTAAGCCGTCTCCATTGAAATCAAACAAGTCGAAGATGTTCATAAGGACCATTCTGCAATAGCATGTCTTGCTATTACTCGGAAGCAATTCAGATGATGTCGTACTTGAAGTTCTTTGTAAGACGTCCATCAGCATTTTGTAATTTCGCTACATTCGATCGTCGTCGTATAGGTATAGATGTGCCTAATGATATCACATAGATAGATGAGTTTGGTTTAAGCACAATCTCATCTGTTGTATACACCTTCAACATATCCATATAAGCATATAGCACTTCATCTACCCCCTCATACCTCATTATCAATGATACTATTAGTGATTCCAAGAAATTCATTTGTCTCCGAGACAACAATAGCTACAACATCATATTCATATGGATGATTCTCATCTGTGAATATCATATCAGCTGAAATGGCTTGCTATAGATAGATCTAAGCAGAGAGAGTAAGAGAGAAGCAGCGTAAGAGGTAAGTACAGAGGGAGAGCTGTTTGAAACATACAATTTCGTCCTAATCTCAGTGTTATCGTCCCTTTGATCTCTTTCGATATTCTAATTTTCGTTTTGACAGATATGAGCGTTGGTGTTGTTATGAAGAATCCATAAGCCTGAACTCTTCTATTTTCAATTCTTTACTTACAGCTTCTCCTTTTACCTTCTTAACGATTTCTGTTTCTTTCACTTCTACTTCTACTTCATCTTCAGCTTCTTCAGCTTCTGCATCTTCCTTTATGACACTCTGTACCCTCAGCAGCTGCTTGTTTAATAGTTCCTCACGAGTCCGTTGCATTTGTTTTAAAAACTTTAAAAATACAAAATGTTTTATAAATTATATTTCGAAGCTTTTACATTCTCTCTCACTCTCACTCTCACTCTCTCTATCTCTCTCTCTAGCTTTCTCTTTCTACAATCCTCCCACCCCCTGTATATGTGTACCTCGCCTTAAAAGGCTTTAAAGAGATTGCTAAAATTATGCAAATTTCTAGAAAAAGCTCATTTCGCATTTACGTGAAAATTGGACGTGACATTTCATTTTGTTTTGAAAAAGTTCATGAGAACGGTTGTTTTCGGTTATCTCGACTCTCTCTCTATCTAACTCTCTTTCTCTCTCTATTACTCTTTAAATATTCTCGTACTCTTTAACTCACATCTCTACCTCTCTCTATACCTCTCTCACTCTCTCTATAACTATCTAAGGATATGTATGTACGTGTGTTGCATTTACACAGATTGTCTCTTCCTTTCACCTCTACTCACTCTCTCTCTTTCTCTCTTTATAATCGTCTCCTCCCTTGTAGTTCGACATCTTCACTTGTGAATGCCCTTCTCTCCTTCTCATTTTGCTCTTTGTTAGCAGCCTTTGATCTCACATTATTCAAATTTAATTTTAAAAACTTACAGAATGAACATTAAAATGATTTTCTTTCAATAAATTATTTTCTAATAAATATTTCTCAATTCCCGGAATAGCATCTTCGAACCCGGAATTTTTCTATAAAAATATATAAAAAATGGATATTTTAAACTTGAAAAGAGGAAGAGGGAGAGAGAGAGAGATAGATAGATAGAGAGAGGGAGAAGGAGAGATTTGAAGAGAAGAGGATATTCTGAGATATAGAATGAAGAGAGTCTTCTGAGATAGAATTCAAAGAGGTAGAAGAGAGAAGACGATGGTAGATGAAAGAGAATGCATGATTCATCTGAAAGATGAATGACGAAAGACCTTATAAGGAATAGAGAGAGAAAGAGAGAGTGTGTATGGTGAGTAAGATATGAGATTGTGGAGCTCTAACAAGTAGTAGTAGAGACAGATGCTTCTTCTATGTAAAGCTCCTTGTGAGGAATGAGAGATAATAGATAGAGAGAGTAGGTTATAGAGAGAGAGAGATAGAGAGAGAGAGAATAAATAAATGAGGAATTTTTTCTTTTAATTATTCATGAAAAGCGGAACTCACCAAACAATCAAAAATGGTTTTTGGCTCAATCTGTTCAAATATCTTTTCGTCATCTTTGGATAATTCGCAAACTAAAGGTGGCGAATAGTATTTGAGATATAAGCTGTAAGCTTCATCCATTGTAATTATTTCTGGAAACAACTTGAGAATTTGAATTCTAAAAAAAGAAAGAAAAAAAAATAATTCAAATGGAACAAAACAATCGCAAATAGCATATGAACGGATAGTAGGAGCTTCAGAGAGAGAGAGAGATATAGAGAGAGAGGGAGAGGTAGAGAGAGAAGAAGTTCCGGAGATGACGAAGAAGCTTTCCTTCATCTACACACATACACACACACACACATACCGAGATATCTTCTGATTCTCAAAATTAAATCAAAAAAAAGAGAGAAGAAGAAGAAAAAATATCTGCTTGCTTCTTCTCCTCCTTCATATTTACATTCTTGTGCTCTCTCTCTTTCTCTCTCTATATGTTATGAAGAGAGGAAACCTTTTCATTGTTGAGAGGGAATCCCCTCTCTCTATATTTCTCTTAATATCTCATCTACCAAAGCATCTTCAGTCTTCCCTTTCCTACCATATCGTTGTTCAGTTTCTATTTCGATTGCTTTGTTGTAAACTTCATTTTGCTTCTTCTCTCTCTACGTGTGTGTGTATGGCATTGCTTAAGAACGACAATTTTCTTTCTTGTGACTTGGCAGAAGCTTAAGCTTAAATGAAGCTTAGAAGTACTTTTACCGTGTGTGGTTGTGTATGTGAGGTGAGAGGAGGTGTGATTGCATGGTGATGATAGGTTGCAAAGGTAAGCTCTTGCAAGGGTACGCGTGTGAGGGTGTGTGGTGTGCCTGTGTATATCTATCAAGATAGAGAGATAGAGAGAGAGAAGAAGGGAAGAGAGAGAGAGAGAGTAAGGAATGGAAGTGCCTGGACAAACCTTTTTCCGACGGCCATAACGTAAGTAATTGGTCAATTATTAATGTTTTTCCACAACAACTCAGAATGGCTGCCATCATTTGCTTATTGATTCGTTCATTGGGCGGCGATAGCTTTCGATAGAAATATTCAAAATCCTTTTGAGTTATATGAAATGTATCGTGTTCAGCTGAAGTCATAGTCGACGTCGTCGTCTTCGTCGTCGGTCTTGTTGCCGTCATCATCGTCATCGTTGACGACGACGGCTTCGTTGTAGTCGTTGACATTCTATAACAACAAACGAGACATTCAATGATTCTCTCTCTTTATTAAATAATATTAAAATAATAATAATAATAAAAGCATCAGATTTCATATTCAACAGGATATTTTGAGTTATAAAGAGAGATTTGCAAGAAATGCAATTGAGAGGGAGAGCTATAGAGGGACAGCTCTAGAGAAGGCTGAGTGTGAGGTGGAAGGTAATAAGGTTCGATTTGATATATCTCAAGGTGTCATAGAGTCATATAGGAATAAGAGTGACAAAAAGAGAAAAAACATATGAATGAGAGGGAAATAAGAGAATTACTAAGAGGGAGAGAGAGAGAGAGAGAGATCAATATATAGCGTTCTCTCTCTTTCTTTTCATTTCTCTCTCCTTCTCTACCTTCTTTGTTACTTAGGCGTTGCTAAGGCAACCATGACCATGAACCATCCTTCGCAATTAGGCTTTTTCTCCTTCTCTTCACATTTCCATAATCCAATATTTGATTAGAGAAGTAATGGACACAAAGAGCACAGACGACATCTATTGCGACGTTCATTTTCGTCTTCATCTTGTCTTCATCTTCTACGTCGTCTTCAGCTGCATCTCCTTTCTCAAAAGAACGGATATGCAAATTAGAAGTTAAAAGAAGAAGACTGAATCTATAGGAAAAGCTGAAAAATAAACTGAAAATTAGTAAAAGTTTTCAAAACATTCGTCTATCCCTGTGTGTCGGTTGAGCAATGTGTTGGATGATAAGATAGAGAGAGATAGAGAAAGAGGTAGATTGCCTACGTTCTTCTTTCGTCCTTCCCCTCTCTCTACCTCTCCCTCCCTTCCTCCCTTCCTCCCTCTCTATCTATCTATCTTCCAGTCTTCTTATGGAATTATCTGAAAAAGTTGTTGAAAGTGCTACTAACAATCTGCAAATTCAATTATTTTTTCCTTTTTTTTCATTTTATACAAGCTTTTGCTTATAATTTCTGGGCTTCAACCGTCAATTGTGTTCAGAACGACGTGTGTGAACGGCAAAAAGAAAAATAATTTTCTTCCTCCTTCTCCCATTTCTCTTCCACCTTTCTAACCTTCTCTCTCTCACTATTACTCTCTCTCTCTCTCTCTATCCCTCCATATACACCTGCGAATCTACATCTGGAACGATACGAAATGAGAAAACAAAAATAGAAAAACGGTACACGAACGGCTGTAGTCAGGAGGGGGGGGGAGACTACATCATTCGTTATGCAAATGAAGGGAGAATCCAGAAGCTTCACTCAGCTATGAACGAACACTTTATTTTTGAATGCAAGGCGAGTAGTGAGCGGTTGTTTTTTATTTTGTTTTGTGTGTGTGTGCGTGTGACTGTTTATGTTTCTCAGTGTCCATAGAAGGGAGGGGGGGGGGGGGGCACAAATGGCTCATTTTGAGTTCCTCTTCCTCATCAAAGCTACGGAGAGTAGAGATAGCTTAGGGGTGGCGACACAAAAAGGAAGCATGGCGTATAGAATTTGAAAAAAAATTTCTTCTGCTTCTTCTGCTTCTGCATTCTGAAACTTAAGAATTCCATGGTTGTAAGCTTAATCGGAATTGTTTAATTTCGTAAAAGAAAATTGTACTTTTGGTCTGGAAGACGAAGAAGAAGAAGAAGAAGAAGAAGCTGTCGTCGTCTTGACCATATGAGAAGAATGGCCTGAGGCTGTATTGAAAAGGAATAAGAAGCTTCTTCGTCGTCTTCATCTACAACAATTTCTTCGTCTTCTTCATCTTCAACATACGTTTTAGGCTCCTGTTCCATCTATCCTCTAGCTTCTCTCATCTCTCTTCGTTTATGGTTTGATGAACTTCCATTTTACTTTATAAGGACAGAAGTTGTCTGTCATAACATTTGGGAAAAATCTTCTGATGAAATATTGTCGTCAAAAACATGAAAAACGAATTTCCCATACAAGTTCAGATCATCTTCTTCCAACCCAAAAAAAAAGCTGGAAAATTCATTTGTTTTCATTGTTATGCATCAGATGGTTATACATCAACGACGTTTCATCTTCCATATTTGAATCTCTCTCTCTCTCTCTATATCTCTTTCTCTATTTCTATCTAACTCTCTCAATATTTCTATTTCTCTATTTCTATTTCTGGTGTTAGAAGTTTCATATCCTTATATGTATATGTCAGATGCTTGATCTCCTTATACTTTAAGAGCTTCATCTAGCCCTTTATTATAACCTTCATTTTCATTCTATATTGGAAGATTCTCTATCTCTTCTACTGTAGAGGCTTTACCTCCTTACTTGCCATCTGAAATGCTTTCCATCATCGTACTCATGTATGAAGCTCAATCATCTTCCATGTATGATGCTTCATCCCATGTTTCATCTTCTTTAAACATTTTTTTGCCTTTTGTTTTATTTTGAACTTGTTTGTTTGAGAAAGTTGAGAAGGATTCAGAATCTTTGGAAGACAGATTGTCTTCCTTACCTCTTACCATCTCATTCGCCATAGAGTGAGGAGGAGAAGCTGAGAGTGAGAGAGAAATATGAGAGAAAATTCATTTGATCTTCAAAGACAAAAAAGGAAAAGAGGAATTGGGTTTTAATTTAAGAAAGTTTCATTTCATCTCAAAGATATAGAGAGAGAGAAAGCGATATGAAGAGAAAATGAGAGAGAGAGAGAGACCGAAGACGAAGACCAGCTGAGATTGAGGAACAAGAGAATGCTTTTTCTCCTTTTTTTTTCTCGGAAAATCTTTTTTGTTCCGTTTCAAGATAGATCAGAAGATGCTTCTCCTAGTTGATCTTCTTAGAATGAAGGAAGGAAAGAGATATCCTAAAGAGAGCAAAGAAGAACAAGACTGTTCTGTTGAATGAAAGAAGAGAGAGCATCTTCTGATTATTACGGAGAGTTTGAATTGAAAATGTTTTTCGTGGATGGTTCGAAGAGTGAAAGTCAGAGGAAGAACTCTTTCAAGTGTTGTAAGAAGGAATGGAAGAGAGAGGGAGATGGTGAAAGAGGGAAGAAAAATGTGTTAAAAGAGATTGAGAGGGATAGAGAGAGATAGATAGAGAGGTATAGAAGGTATATGGAAGAAGAGAGAGAGAGAGAGTGAGGGAGTGATTGTGACCGTCTTGTGATCTTTGCATGAAGCTTTTCCTTCTCTCCTATTGTGCCCATATTTGTATGTTTCATCTGACAAAATGTAAAAAACATATTTTTGAATTAAAAAAAAAGAAAAATGAAATAAGACGTTTCCTTTCGTCGAAAAGCATAATTTCCTTTTTATTTTTAAAATATTTTTGTATTTCAAAAGATGTCATTCGCGACAATTTTTGATTTCTTCGTTCACGAAGTTCTTCTTCTTTGACGTCCGTCGTCGAACTTCTTCTTCTACTTCTTCTTCTTCTTCATCCTTGTCGTCGGCATTCCGTCTTCACATGCTTGTTGTTATCACACAAACATTTTTTGTTCAACTCATTTACGAGGGAATACAGAGAGAGAAAGAGAGAGAGAGAGAGATGGATATAAGGAAGGCATTGCGAGTATGAGGGTGTTGGAACCGAAAGAGTTACATGCAAGGAGATAGAGAGAGAAAATTCTCAAGCATTTGCCCTTTTAAGGAAAATAATGTGTGATGTTTGTTAGTTTCTCTCTCTCTCTATATAGATATCTCTCTATCTCTAACTCTCTCTCTCTCTCTATACATGCTCATCACTATCCTCCTCTACTCAGTTGTAATCATTTCATGGAAACTATCCAATGATGTTCCTCATTTCTCCTCCTTCTGCTTCTTTTTCTCCTTTTTTGTTCAAAAAATGCAGTTCGAGCGCTTTAATAAACTTTTTTTTATTTCAAATTTAAATGACATCAGATGATGGACGGATGGACGTCAGCCCATCTTCCAGCACTCGCTTGAAATTAAAATTTTAAAATAAAATACGAAAAAAATTATAAATTTTTTCATTTTTTTGAAGCTTCTCCATTGTTTCAATGAATGCCATCCCCTCCCTCTCACTTGCTCTTTCTCTTCCTCCTCCCTCCATCTCATTCCGCCTCTACCTCTCATTTACTCTCTCTATATACGTATGTGATGAGTCCATTTGACCCTGTTGGTCCATTCCCCCCCCTCCTCTCTCCTCTTATGTTTATTGCTTTATAAATTGTCTCTTTCTAATCTCCTCCCTCCCTCCCACTTTTTCCTCAAAGAATGAGCATCATCTTAGATGTCTGTCGTCTGTTTATATCTTCGTGTGTGTGTGTGTACGTGTGTGTTTTCATTGTCTTCATAATCTCACAACAACTTCCATAATTGGCATCGTCTAGTGATAAGCATGCTTTCAGAATGAATCATTGTGATCCATTAGATTATGGTAATGATGATATCTCCTACTATGTTGTATCTGCTTTGGGCGAAAGATGTTATGCGGTAAGACTTGATAATCAATTAGATCTATCAAATGATCTTATTCCAGAAATCAATAATCATTCCGACTATCCTTATCTATAGTGTTATATTCATAATTGGTATTGTGGGCAACATATGCACATGTATTGTTATATTATCTAATAAATCAATGCAAAATCCTACAAATAGTTATTTATTGAGTTTGGCCATTTCGGATATTCTCGTCTTGCTTCTAGGTAAGTCAAGTTTCATATTCAAGTTTCATCATCATGCTCGTTATCATATCTATCATACTGTCATTTCTCTTTCTGTGTGTGTCTGTTCATCACATGTACTCACATGCACATGCACATGCACACACATCTCTCTTAGCTTCATCACATTTCGCACATGTTATGTTTCAATGTTGTAAGCTTAAACGAATCTAAAAATTGTGAACAAATGAATTGAATTTGAAAGATTCGTCGTCGTCTTTAGTCTGAATCATATAGAAACTGCATTTACAAACATTCATTCTGATCAAATCATCTCATTTCAAAATGACAGTTTACTCTGCCATTCTCTTTGATGATATTCAGATGAACATTGTTTTTTGGAAATAAAGAGGGAGAAGGAGGGAGGGATAGAGGTAGAGGTGAGAAAGAGAGAGAGAGGTAGAGAGTAGAGAGTGCGTTAGAAGATTCAGATGATAAAGTGACGACAGTCCATCTGAGATTCATACATAATACATATGTAGGTGATGAAGTACTATGAGAGTGAATAGAGAGAGAGAGAGAGAGAGAGAGATGAAGCTAGCAAGTAAGCAAGTTGTTGAAGAAACTACATTCTGAGAATGTGGATGCATGAACGGAAGATGAAATGACACAAGACAGATAGATTTTCTCCTTCTTCTTCTTCATCTTTTTGCAAATGAATCTTTTCAATTATGAATAATTAGTATGAAAATATAATTATTTAATACATATAGTTAAGGATTGCCAATGGAGTTGTATGGTGTATTGGATTATGCTTATCCATATACATTTCCAAATGTTATATGTAAAGCTCGAGCATTTTTGATTGAATTTACGAGTTATGCTTCAATTCTTGTTATATTTTCATTTTCTGTTGAAAGATGGTTAGCTATATGGTATAATTTATAAAAAAGATAGATTTATATATATATCACATAATTATAGTTATCCATTACAAGTCAAAATCTTTTCTACCGTATCCAGAGCATATGCTGTAATCATTGCTGCATGGATTATATCATTTATAGCAGCTTTACCTATGGCTTTCATTGTTAAGATCAATCGATTAGCTTTACCAGAATACTTTGCATCATCTAATTGGACATCAAGTGTAAGTTGACGTCTTCATTACAATCTTTCAAGCTTCAAGCTTCTATCTCTCTCTCACTCTCACTCACTTACAACCTCCTATAAACAAATCAAAAAACGTCTTCTGTCTTCTTCTTCTCCTGCTTCTCCTTCTTCAGCTTTGATCTTTAATTCCTATTTCTAATCTAATAACAACAACAAATGTTTTGTTATTTGAGATTTGTGTTTTCTCTGTCTGTCTGTCTGTCTGTGTTACTCCTCTAAGCGGTTGTGTGTTTATGAGAATTATGCAAATCTGATGCTTTTTAAGGTTTCTACCGATGGCCTAACTATCGATAGAACGGAATTCTGCAGCATGGATGTCACAATGCTGGATGAGCAAAGCAGTTTGATATACTTTGCATTCTTCTTCTTCTTTCTGCTACCAGGTTGGTGTGCTTCTTTCACAGGCGTTTTTTCTTTTTACCAATCCTAATCCTCATGAAGTGATACAGAAAGACGAAATGAGAGGGGTGGGCCACGGGGAAGAGGGGGTGTGGATGAAGATGTTGAAGAGAGAAATAAACTGTCAGTGCGATTTGCAGTAAAAGCTCAAACATGTATTTCTCCAAGTTCAGGGTTACGAGAAGGTTTTGATGCAAGCTGAAGAGATTAAGCTGGAGTGCAAAAACGGATTAAAAAGGAAGGAGAAAGTTCGAAGAACAAAGAGAAAGTTGGAGGAGAAAAAAGGTGGAAAAGCTTATGAGAACAGCAATGTTTTGGTATTGAGGGGATAGAAAGCTTTAAAGGATTGAGAAAGAGGAAGAAGAAAGAAGGTCAGCAGACATGAAGAGAGAGAGAGAGAGAGAATGAAATGTTCTCATGAAAAACGAAAGAAGAGATCAAATCTCAGAAGCAAACGAAGATAGGAGAAGCATCTCACAAGATTCTTTTTTAAGCTTTATTAATAATAATAATGTATGGTCACATTGCCCTTCGGTTGAAAGCTGCTGATCAGTGTTTGTCGAAAGAGAGCTCATCCAATGAGCGTCGAAGTCGCTCAACCAGGAACGTCATCAAGATGCTGGGTAAACTAAACCACGCATACACACACACAACAACATCACATGAATCTGTTTCAGTATCGGTCGTTGTGACATTCTTCTTATGCTGGCTTCCATTTCATCTTCAACGTTTGTTATCCATCTTCATGAACTTTCATCAAGGTAATGTATCACCGGCAGTTCAGTTCATCTTCACTCTTGTCTTCTACATATCAGGTATGCGTAGGTGTATTACCTTCCTCATCTACAGTACCTTCAGGATATTGCTATTATTCAAATTCAGCATGTAATCCCATCTTGTATAACATTTTGTCGGAAAAGTATCGAAGTGCTTTCTGTGAGACTATTTTAGGAAAAAATTTGACAAAAAAACTTTTTCCGCGATGGTTTGAACGTCAGAAAGCTCGAAGGTGAGTTGTTCATGTTGTTTATGCATATGTGCCTACACAGGCACATGTGTATATCCATATATGGCTATATGATGTATGTTTGTGTGTTTCAGTAAAGTACTACTTGATTCATCATCATATGCCCATAAGGTATCTGTGACAGCATCCAAAGAGACTTTCATTTCATCAAAGCCGCATCGTTCAAAGCCTGTACCTCTCTGATTGCTTTGCCGTCATTCATTGAAACAACATCAGCTGATAAATATAATTTATTTTTTTTATTTCATTTTTGTTATTAAGAAGAAGACGACAAAAAGAAAACAAGTCCACTGAATATCTTTTGAATGGAAAACTTATTAAACAGGGGAAAAGCTAATACCAGTACAACAGATTGAATCGGTTCAAGAGAGAAAGGAGAATAGAGAGAGAGAGAGAGAAAGGTTCGTGTATGGAAGCCCTGAGGGCATTTTTAAAACCGATAATGGGCAGCCGTGAATATGAGGTAAAATGAAGTTTTCTTTGTTTTCTCTAAGAACAATCAGCTTTCAGCCGATAGAGAGAGAGAAAGAGAGAGAGAGAGACAGAAAGATAGAGAGAGAAGGAGAAAGACCCTGATTTGTCAAAATTTAAATTTCTCTCTCAATCCTCCTCCGTATATGGCATTTGAATTAATATTAAGAGGGAAAAATGGGTTCGAATGAATGAGAAATCGCACAAGAGCATGTTGAGAGAGAGAGAGCAAGGGCAAGAAGCTCTGATCTAAGCGACTTCTCTTTCAAATGTGGGTGATGGGCTACATGAGCTGCTACTTGTTGATTCGCGTATTCCAGAATCAATGCTCGAGTTAGATGATCGGTTCTTGGCTGCCGTCATTATAATTGAAGCTGGATTTAAATCAGAAGCATTTGAGCTTGAATATGTTATGTTAGATTTGCCGGATATTGTTGATGGTGTATGAGAAAGTGGAGATACAGCTTCATCACTACAATCAGATGATGAATCGTCTGCGTTTATGTGTAAGCTTCTGGCTGGAGCTGGATGACGCATAAGGTCAGAAGGACGACGAGGCTGAAACAACTTATCTTATTTTTAAATTTTCCAATATATTAAGCTTACAACTCGTTTAGGTCCAAATCGATTACTGGCACGAGGTGGAATTGGAATACGAAGGACGCTGTTTTGGCGACTAAAATATTGTGGACGAGCATCATCAACATATAATGTTGTGACAGCGGACATGGAAGCAGAAAAGCCGGTACATTCATCAAACTGATCCTATAACATATACGATGAACATGTGATTTCCATATAAGCTTACATCTTCCTCATCCTGTTCAGTTCGATCATCAATACTGTTTGTGCTCTGAGTTCTTCTTAAGCCATTCTCTTTCATTTCACTTATTTGATCACCAAGACTCAGAAGCTGTTGAAGAAGTGACATGTCATTCTCCATCAATGCAAACTGTAAAATTCATATAATTAGTTGGATCTATGCCTTCAGATGATTCCATCTATGAGTTCAGATGGGGTTTTTTGTGTTTCAGTAACAGATGACTGTTTCTAATGATCACTATGCACTTAGAAGAGAGTTGCCAGACAATCAGAGAGTGGAATGAGAAGGAATGAAAAGCAATTAGCCAGCAAGAGAGGAAGTTAGAGAGAGAGATGATTATACTGTATGAAACGATGGAGAGTCAGCCTTATGTAAAGAGCATGATGAGGGTCAATTGAATACCAAATGACAGCTGTTGACCAGCTGTATCCGAGAACTGTTTTGCCCAAATACAGTTATTAACATATTTTTTATTCCCTCCACCCTCTTTTCATCGGTTTTTTTGAACAAATTTCTTCTTTATCCTTTTATTCTCTTTATCCTTCCCTCCACCATCACACTCTCGCACTCTCTCTATCTCTATCTCTCTCTTTACAATAGGTAGACAAGGAAATACATTTTGGTCCGAAGCCACATCAGATGTGTTGCTTGTGCTCTTCCTCTTCATCCACCCTCGCATAATTCAATTGCTTGAATGGAAATTAGCATAAAAACAGCTTATCACGTGAAAGTGACGTGAAACAACATATGAGTGACAAAAAGAGAAAATGCCATTGTTGTTCAAATAAAATTAGTGAGCGGTTGCATTCAGAAGAAGCTTAAGTCCTTTATGAAGGCTTAATATCATAAACGATGCCGAACTAGCAGATAGTTGCGTCACAAAAGGATAAAGGAAAAACACATTTTTCATCGTCACCGTCGTCAGAAGAAGAAGAGGATGAGGTCAAAGGGAGAAAAGTAAAAGGTAAACACTATATGCTAACTATATGTATATAGTTAATGAATTGCCTTTGTTTGAGTGATGTCATTAAAAGGAAATAAATCAAATAGAAGATCTGGGAATGACCATACACACTGTAGCCACTGACATACACTTCAGCTTCACATGAACACACAATGCTTCATACACGCAGGTCAATGAGGAATAGAAAAAAAACTTTTTTTTTGTTGAAATATTTCCATGTGCCCCCCCCCCCCCCCACTCACTTGGTTTATGATTTTGGAACGGAGATTCCAGATAGGAGAGGGTTTCCTCATTCTCTTTCTCTCTCCCCCTCTCTCCAATGGTCCCTGCTCTCTCTCTATGTTCTCCCTTTGATCAAATAGTTATTAATAATGTTTTCCTTCCATAAACAATGTCCATATCAGATTGAAAATTCACACGAATGGTCAACTCCTGGAAGGTCAGCTGTGCAAACTTTCAAGAAGCAGATTTGCTATTTCACACTCAGAGAGAGATTTTCTCTCTCTTTATCTTTCGGATAGACTCTAAGAGAGAGAGAGTGAAAGAGTGGTTGTAGGCTGTTTTACATACACGAGAGTTTGGAATCCTAAACCTTCATGTGATATTAGAAGAGTATAGCATCTCGTGCTATTCATCAGATTCTCTTTTCATCATAAAGAGATTCCACCTCTCATCTCTCTATACCCTATTATAGAGAGAGAGAGGAGAAGTAGAGAGAGAGAGAGAAAACTGAAAAAAGTCAAAGAAATTCCCCCTCCTCTCCTCTTTCCGAATTTACAATTGAAATTGAGGAATTTCAAACATTTTTCATTTATTCTTCTGAATAAGCAAAATCATTTGACATCGTGCAACTGACGACCGTTTACAGCCTTTTACAGTCAATTGTGGATTGCCAGAAGCCCCCGCAAAGTGTTGTCTTCAAAGAGGAAAAAAACCCTTTTTAATACAATAGATGAAAATCATTGAAAGAGTATGGAACTGTAAGAGGTAACAGATCTGATGAGTGTGAGGGCCTGCTGTCGTTTGTGGCAGGCGATTACTTGTGTTTGTGAAAAATACCGCAACACTCGGCCATTTTTGTGTTTATTGGAGTTGTAGCAGAAGGCTGTTTTAAAGGAGGTTAAACGATCTTGAAAGAGAGAGGAAAAGGATTGAGAGAGAGAGAGAGGGAAGAGAGAGAGGAAGGAGGAATGGATTTCACCAGAAGGCACGTGTTAGATGATGGAATATGATTATTAGTAAAATGCAATCAGATAAGAAAACAACAATTCCGCATTCTTTTCCAACCAAATCTCTATTATTATTCTCGCATAGTTAACCTTAGCTATGCGAGAATTGAAAATAGGAATTACATAATGGGTCAAAAGTGTTACTTCATCAACTTATGGTTGAACCATCTGGCTTTGGACACGCAATCTTTTCGTTCCAATTAGTATCCTTCTGTAACCTCCTTAATAGGTTTCTTTTCCCTTGTTAGGAAAGCTTTCCCTCTCTCTTTACCTACTTCCTCCTCTTTCTCCCCATTCCCCCTCTTCTTCAAGTTGACTTCTTCCTGTACAACACTTCAGACTAGCATGCTTCCTGTAGAACCAGCATGGTGTATTCACCTTCAACCTCATCCAACACCTTTCTGCGTACATCAATCATCCTCATTCAGATGGAGTCAAAGCAGCATGTGAAACATGATTGAATTGAAAATTCATTGCATCAGATTCATTTAGCACGTAAAAGCATATGGCTTCAACCCTCATATTCAGATGAAACAAATTGTCATCTCAAATCAAACTGAGAAATGGTCGTCGAGAAGACATCTGTCGAGTTGTTCTTGGACGACCGTCCGTCCGGCCGTCCGTCCATCAACATCTGCGATCATCTTTGGTCATCTTTTAGAATAACAGATTTATTAAATACTTGAATAATTTAAAGAGAATGAGATATATGATATCGTTCTCCTCTTAACCTTCTCCATCTGCCTTCTACAATGCTTTCCCTCCTTCTTGTCTTTTTTTTCTTTCTCTCTCTTAATTTCCGTCAAACGATAACAACACCTCTTCAATGGACTCACTCGGCATGGTGCCAGACATATCAAATACAACCAACGTGTTTTATGATCGGTTGAAGATAGAATAAGAAAACAAAAGGTCAACCGTTCTTCAAAACGTTCCTCTTCCTCATATTCGAACAGCTTTCTCATCTTGCGTATCAAGTTTGAAATTGCATGCAAAGTATATGAGCTGATCAACAATCTCTGTCAAATATACAGATGATGATATACTCATCATGATGGCATTTACGTGGCGGCTGCAGATAGTTATATAGACGTGGATGATGATGAAGAGCTATCATATGAGCTTCCCAAATCAGAGATGAAGCTTCATTGAATCAACATCATGCGCTAGATGCTTATGATTTAGCAAAATGAATGTCTCGCGTGTAATGAAGCGGAAAAGAAAGAAAATTGGTGTGGAATGACTTATAAGTCATAGAAAGAAAAAGCAATTAGTTGATGATTATGATGAGAACGAGTTTGCATATTTGGATGAAACAAGAAGCCGCTTGTAAGAACAAGAAATGCCTCAGGGGCTAGCCAATTTGCCTTTTCAAGATGTTTCTCACTCTCTCTCTAGATGTATCTCTATCTTATTCTCTCTCTCTCATACTGTCTCTCACACATTCTCAAATTTGAATTAGCGTATCGAAGGATGGTCCAGATTAAGTTGAAGACAAGTCCATATATGGACTAACAGGTCATCTGTTCGTCTGGCTATTCCTCATTGTGAAAGCTTCAAATGAATGCGGAAAAGCATGCAATGGCCATTGGCGACAAAAAAAACACACAGAAGGAAAAAGAATGAGAAGGAAGTGTGTCCTTGGCCTTTATCCAGTGCTATCAACCAACAGCAGGCAAAAAGGAAAATAAAAATTCTCGAAATGCATAGTCGTCATCATCATCTTCATCATCATCTTCAACGACGGAGACGCAGACTGTTGTTATGCATCTTTTTTTTTTTGGTTCATACGTTCATTACAATTCAATTGACATCTGAATTCCGTCATTTGCCGATGACGATGACGACGCTTTTCTTTCTTTTCATTTCGCCGGTCAATGACATGAAAAGTTTTGATGAAAATGATGAGGAATATGATGAAGACGATCATCTCAGATGGCCAGCCTGACCTCCGAAAACACGGCCAAGTGCCGTTTTTCATAAACCACTTCCCCCCTTTTTTAGGTGTTTTGTTGATTTCTCTCCATGAGGCTTCGAACATTCCAATGAAATGTCCAAAACGCCTAGTCTCTCCCCCCCCCACCCTCGGACTAGCCAACTATCCCCCCCCCCCACCTCTTCTCGTCGACCATCTCGTTCACAATCCATACTGTCCACTCATCCACTCACCAAAGTTGTTGAAATTCAAAATGTATGATGACAGCTAATTAAAACTTAATTTGAGTGGGGAATAAAGCAAAAAACCATATGTATATGACGTCATAAACTATATGGTATAAGTAATACAGTATGAATGATATGTATTTCACAATAACGAATTGCCTTAACCTCCATTTTCCCCTTCTTTTCTTCAATCTAATGAAAATCATTTGTTATTGGCATCTTTTGACATTATTCATACACATACCACATCAGTTGAGTAGGAATGAAGGAAAGTTATAGAGAGAGATAGAGGTAGAGAGAGAGAGAGAGAGAGAGAGAGAGTGGATAGCTAGCCGTTCGACCAAATACAATAGGAACTGTTTATGTATTCATCTTCTTTGGGTGTCACACACACACTGGCTGTCTTGTGTTCAGAAACCACGGGTTTGGCACTAATCTCCCTCTCATATTCTCTCTCTCTATTCATATTTTCTCCTTGGATATCATATTTGAGAGAGTGAGAGAAGTTTTCCCTCTCGAAAGAATCAAAAGAGCGTGTACAGCTTGAACACGAGCCTCTTTAGACCTAAAGTGCCTTCAAACTTTTTGGCAAACGATAGATAGTGTAAGATGAAGAGAATGAGAGAAAGATAGATGATAATAGTTCTTAAGAGATGAATGGCAGAGACAAAGATAATGCTTAAGTGATCATCACGTAAACAGATCAATTCCAAATAAGGCAAGTAAAGCAAGTCAACGAACCATTTTTTCGCGAATCATCTCAAATGGACTGCTATTCTCCTTTTGTGTTCGACTGAAGTATTCAGTACTCAGATGATCGTTATCGCTCATTTGAGCTGTCGATGGTGAATCTTCTTCCAAATTACAAAAACTTCGAGCCTTCTTATATCTGAAGACGAGTTCAAACTAGATATACATAAGATCAATTGAGATTTACCTTTCAAGCCTTCGCAATCGATTTGCACACATGGCACGATAGGCATTGAAATCGTCGTTTTGTTCCATTCGTTTCTAAAATCAGTTTCATAAGAATTGGAATACGTATGTGAAAACGAAAACAGAAGATGAGAATCGAATAGAGACATCAGAAGAGTTAGTATGACGACATATGAAATGAGTGACGAGGTGATGATATTCAACGAAATTCTTCGACAGACTAAGTGACGACGATAAGATATTTCGTTGTTAGGCGATAAGATAAGTTACAAGAGACTTCATAATGAGAAATAGATCGTTAGAGAGAGCCTTAATAGATTATGAAATAACTAGAGAGAGATAGAGATGCTAAGACTACCACACTACACAGAGGTGCATGACGTTGACACAACCATGAACAACCGATCCGATTAGGAAATGAAATGAGAAATGAATTTCTCACGCAAAAATCATTCTCACGTGTAAATGAGTTGAAATACAGTATGTGTGCAAATCAAAATATAAAACAAAGAGAGTGAAAAGAAAATTTTCAAGAGAGAAACAGCCAACACAAAGCGACCATTCAATTTCGCTTTGAAAATTAAAAAAAAAGAAATTTTTGTTGTTTTCACGTGATGAGCAAACAAAAAAAAAGAAATTTTAATGAAATTCCAAAAAGATGTTGAAAGGAGAAGGAAGAAAACGATTGTTGCAGCTCTCTGTGCTCTCTCCAGACAACTCGTCTCCTCCCTAACCTCACACCCTTAGAAAGTGTACCTCGGCCCCTTCTTTGTTCAGCTGATAACAAAAATCAGCTGAGAGACTGAGAAGAAGGAACATTTGGAAGGGAATTAAGGATTGCGAATGCACGTTAACGGTCAAGAAATGATTTTAGCGCATTTTATGGGAAATGGACAAGTCAGATTTTGTAAAAACCTTTGAAGATGGAAAAGTGAGAAAGAGAGAGAGTGAATTTATGAAGAGAAAGAGAGAGAGACATGAGAGGGATTGTCGGGATGGAATGACCTTGCTGAAAACTCCCAGGATTCTACGTTTTTCATGTCATTCTCAGCTGTCATTTGGATAGTTGAAAATTGAGGTAAAAAGGTTTTTCCAAACATAGAGAGGTAGAGGGAGAAGATGAAGAAGGTGAAGTGAACGAACAAGCAATGTTGAAAACAAAACTTTCAAAAAAGAACTTGAAAATATAAGAAGCATAAGATTTGAATGCAATACTAGCGGATTGAATGAGAAAAAAATGTTTTTCCATGGCGGCTTTTGGTAAGAGCGATGATTGAGATCGAGAATAGAAGAGATAGAGAGGAGAAAAAGGCTTGTTCGGTATTCAAAACCGTTTGGGGAGGCGGGGAGTTGAAGCCGAGAGAGATTTGACTCCGCCCATGTCATCTGGGTGTCTGCTGTTGGTAGCGGAGCCATGGGTCAGCAGAGAAAATGGTATGAGACAGTATACGATTAGTGGAGAGTATGAGATTGATGTGGATTGGTAGCGAGATAGATGGGGAGAGGAAGTACTGTCCTTCTGGATCAAATAGTGCTCTTCTCAGTCTGATGAGCCGATTAGGAGGATCTGTCAAATGAGATGTTTGAATAGAAAAAAAAAACGAAAAAAAGTCGAGAGGAGGGAGAGGGGGGAGGAAGGACATCACGAAAGGACAATCAAGGAGGTTCTCGAGGAATTCGCTGCCACAATGATAAGCTGAATGAATTTGAAGGGCAAAGTTTATCAGAAATTTCGAAACAGTTTTTATGAAAAAGGTTGATAAGCTGCCCGAAGGAGAATGATTAGAGACAGGAGGGGGGGGGGTCGGAACTTGCTAAATATGGTCGACGATCATGTAATTCTTATGAATTTTAAGGAGAAGAAGACGACAGGAAGGATAGGGAAAGAGAATCAAATAATCGAATCAGCGGTATGTGAATCCGAGAGAGACAGGAGGTGGGGGGGGGGGGGGGGGGGGAAAAGGGAAAATAAGGGGAAAAAAAATTTTTTTTTTTTAACCC